TATTTCGTAGATAGAAGTGTGATTTTGAAACACTTACTTTGAGATATATTACTATAAAATTATTAAATTATTATTATTACTATAAAAGATGCCTTTGATGGCGGATCCGAACCATAACAAAATAATAATAATAATAAAATGGTTAATAAAATAAAATTGTTGTAGACGGGTGGAGACGTCTTACGACAAATAAATAAAAACAAAATGTTGTAGGCGGGCGGAGACGTCCTATGACAAATAAATAAAAAAAAAATGTTGTAGGCGGGCGGAGACGTCCTATGACAAATATGTTATGAATGTTCGTGTGATGCCCCCAAAGCCATGTAGCTTAGATAATTGGACGTGATATTATGACCATCTCAAAGTTGTGTTGTAGTAAACAACGTTACCCATACGATCAAAAAAAAAAATTGATATTCATAATTGTAACAATATAAAGTTATCTAGGGTTACTGTGGAAGTACCTAGACTACAAAAGCATTTATCTTTTATCACAGAGCAAACATCAGTATGACCGTATCGGCATGACTTCGGAAGATGAAGCATCAATTCTTGATCCTGTCCCATCTACTTTACGAGACGCGCGACTGGTCCAAGCACATAACGAAAACCAACCAAGAGAGAACACATAACCAGGCAGGTGCAGAGCACGCACCGCCTGTCAGAATGGCCGTATCGGCGCTACCAGCTTTAATAACGGATGCGACTTGAAAATAATTAGAGGCTGCCATCAATTCTTATTAAACCTCATTAGTATTTATGATTATTGTTAAAAGTAAAACGAAATCAAAAGAGAATAGAATTATGTTTGAATCAAAAATATGACGTCTGGACTCACGACGGCGGACTCCAGAATTGAGAATGGAGCATTGATAATTGAGAGTTCAGTGAGCGTGTATCATAGAAGCATGTTATTATGAAGAATCTTTGAGAAATACAAGAGCATTAAGATCAATTGCAGTTTCATTTTAAAATATCATCGAATGCTTTAGAAGAAGTAACAGTTGTAACGTCAGCGAGGCTGGCGTCCCTCTCTTTAAAATCAACGAATGTGTAATAAATCTGATATATATGACGGAGTATGCACAATACGTTGTGTAAAGTGCCTTATTTTGGGAAAACTAGTTGATATTTTGGTTTCATTAATCTGGGAAAACTAGTTGATATTTTGGTTTCATTTCTTTCATGTTTGTATTTAAATGTTTTCGTTTATTTGAGTGATTATATTTGGTTGATAAAGGTTAAGAATTTGAAGAGAAGATACTCAATTCATTTGACAGTACATTGACGATATGTCGTTTGAACTATGTAATTTTGTGAAAGCTGTTTGTTTGTTTGATTAAGATTATTTTAAGTTTTTAAGTGTATTCCTTATTTCTTTTTATTTGTTTGATTGTATTTAGTTGATTAATATTGTGAATGTATTTTAAAAAGTAACTCAATTTATTATAAAGAGCCGACGCTAACGTCAGTTAGATTGTCGAGTGGGGTTGCGAGAGGCGCCAACTTCATAGTAGTGAGCAAGCATATAAACTGCAGCAGTCACACTGCAAGGGCAGTGCTCATTTGGACGTAGTGTTGGACGCACCCTCGGAAATCCACGTGGCTCGATTTCATGTGTTAATCAAAAAGCAAGAAGTGAAGTAAAGTGAAGTGAAGTGACTTTAAAGTGTTGTGAAGTGTTTTGTGAAGTGTTAGTGGTTAGATATCAAATAAGAGTGAATTACAAGACCCTAATGGACTCGGCGATCCGACATCAGAAGTTGGGAATCACCCAGATACGCACACTCGAAGTTGGAGTCCAATTCTCCAATCCGAACACGACAAATGGAGGAAACTTTTTCATTTACAACATCGTTACATGCTTAAATTGGAGGGCGCCCAAAGATGATGCAACGAAGAGTACCGCCACAGAGGACTGCCAAATGTTACCGATGTGGACAACCGGGGCACATAGCGCCTACGTGTTCAACTAAATCTGGGGAAAACTGTTGAACAACCAGATCCGACCGAACGGCGGGTAGATATCTGCACCGTCAGTCCTGCTTCAGGAGACCTTTATAATTTGGGTGAGAGATTTCCTTTTTATTTTGATTGCGGTGCTCAGTGCACTCTTATCAAAGAAAGCATAGCACAAAATTTTTCTGGTAAACGATATCACAATACTGTCGTTTTGAAAGGTATAGGTAATAATAGTTTAATATTAATAATAACTGACTCTTTCAGAAACACTTGGTCACTGACCCATGTGACGGGAATATTGTTAGGGAGATATATCTTCTTCTTCTTCTTAAGGTGCCTCTTTGACTAGCGAAGGCTGGCTGTCAGCTCCGCATACTTTTTTTTCTGTCTCTTGCGAGGTGGAAAAGATGTCCACTCTCTGATGTTTCGTAGCCATGACTTTCTTCTACGAACGACACCTCTTCTACCGGCGACTTTTCCCATCATAATGATTTAGAGGAGTTCGTATCTCTCATGCCTAAGCACATGTCCGAGATAAGCAACTTTCCTCATCTTGACGGTCTCACATCCGTAAAGAAGGATGGGTCAGATGTAACATTTAAGAAGACGGATACGCAAATGCAATTTAAGGTTGCGATAGCAAAGAATTGTTTGCATCTTCTTAAAGGTGTTACGGGCTATTTCGATACGTGTCCTGATTTCTAAATCATTGTCCCAATTTTCCTTTAGCCACGTACCCAAATATTTACATTTGCGCACCCGCTCCAGATTTTGGCCAGCCACGGTTAATTTGTCATCACTCACTTCGCCTTTAGATCCAATCATGAGCTTCGTTTTACCGATGTTTATTTTGAGGCCTACTTTCTCGCTGCAATCATTTACTCGGTTAAGAACCTGCTGCAGATCCTTAAGTGACGATGCTATAAGTACTGTGTCATCTGCGTATCTCAGGTTGTTAATATTGCGTCCATTGATTTTAACTCTGCAATCTAGATCGTGCAGTGATTCAGTCATTATTGCCTCCGAGTATTCATTAATCAGCAAGGTTGATAAGACAGCCCTGCCAAACACCCCTCTTTACATCAACATCTTCCGCTTCCTCATTTTCAACCCGAACATTTGCTCTTTGATTCCAGTACAGAATCTGTATTATTCGAATATCTTTGCTGTCTAATCCGGTGCTGTGTAAAAGGTCTACAAGACGGTCATGCTGTACTCGATCAAACACTTTTTCGTAATCGATGAAGCAAAGAAAAACGTCTTGCTGCATATCTCTGCAGTTCTATACTAAAGTACTGCAAAAAGAGCTTCTCTAGTTCTAACACTAGAACATCTTCTCGCGTTTGTTTTCTTTGGAAGAGTTACAAAAGTTGACGACAGCCAGTTTTGAGGTAGCCGACCAGAATCGTAGATGTCATTCATAAATTTAACGAGAACGTCGATGATGTGTGGATATTATCTGGTCCATGTGATTTTTCCAGTCTTGGCTTTACCTAGAGCCTTCTCTATTTCCTCTGGTAAAATGGAGTATCCATCGTTCGCGGCATAAGGTACATATTCACTCCGTGTATCGTCACCAAACATGGATGTAATATATTGCTTCCAAACCTGTTTCTTCCTGTATATAACCATGATTGGTACATTTTGTTCATCCACGTTATGGTTTGTGAACTTTTTACTACCTAGAAAGGTCTTTATTACTTTATATAAATTAAATGCGTCATGTTTGTTATAGAGGGATTCTAGATGTTCACACTTGTGCCGGTACCAGACATTACGAGCGAGGCACGCTTCTCTTCGTGCTGCTCTGTGGGGTTCTCTGTATTTGGTTGTATCAGTGTATTTGCGGGGTTTGCGCTCTTCCCTTAGTTTGTGGATTTTTTTTCTGTCGTCCAACTGTATTTGGGAGTCCAATCGGGCTTTGGGTGCAGTCTATTAATTTCCAGTACTTTGGTTTTTGAAGTGTTCCGGATGTCTTCGGGTGAAATGATTGCCTGTGATTTCGCACTCCGTGCCCGGTCATTTATTTCCTTCGCCACTTTATTCTTAATGTTGGCACCTTTTAGTTTGTTTATGTCGACCGTAACGTTTTGTGACTTGTTCCTTATTTTCTTAAGGGTACATGCTGGAGTGGTTTTGACTGGATTATGATCGGACCCAGTATCGGCTCCGGGTTGTGTTTTTGCACTTTTAATGCAATTTCTGAAGCGGCTATTTATCGTTGTGTAATCGATTGGGGAGATATGTGGGAGGAGTAATGGTAGTAATAATGAATCACTTTGTTTCCGGAGCCATGTTCCGGTTTTGCAGACACTTATTATTTGGTGAATTTGATACACTGCAGGTGGACAGATGGGAACTTGAAGGCTAGGACAGGGGCCTTGAATTGATATTAATATTATGAGTATGAGCTTTGACCGCACAGTAGCCGTTGGCATACCCCTTGATAGTGTGTGTGTGTGTGTTTTGGACCAGTGCTTTAGCAGGTATCCTGCATTAATGCTCGAGCAAGCCTTAACCAATGAGTTATTGGTTTGAGTATATCTCTTCCAGGTGCTCGCAATTCTTACACGCATCAGTGTACTTTCCTTTCAATGAACATTTCTGACGCGCTACAGTATCGTGGTAGTCCGAACAGTAATCGAAACGTGTTATTATATCCCACCCACATAGCGTTAATGGCACTTTGTGTGTATTTGAACCACAATTCGGCTGTATAGAGACACATATAATAGGTACGAAATAATATAGATTTCACCTCATCAGTGCATAGTCTGAATCTTCGTGATATCATGTTCGCGCGTATGGTTATGCTCTCCTTTGCCTGTTGATATCATCGACATCTGAGAGGTCGTCCCTTATTATATGCTCTAGAGTATTCAAAGTATTTTGTTGAAGGTGTCCCCATAAGTAGAGTTACATCAGGCCAATTAGAAATAAAATTAATTGATCCAAGTCGCACTGTTCAACGTCGTCCCTATAGATTAAGCATAGATGAACGAATGGTTGTAAGAGAAAAAAAATTCGTGATCCCCTAAATGCCGGAGTCATACGTGAAAGCTGTTCTCCTTTTTCTAGTCCTGTGTGGTATACATCTTGTCAAGGATCTGTGTGAACTTGGCAAAGATCTGTGTGGTATACATCTTGTCAAGGATCTGTGTGAACTTGGCAAAGATCTGTGTGGTATACATCTTGTCAAGGATCTGTGTGAACTTGGCAAAGATTTGTGTGGTATACATCTTGTCAAGCATCTGTGTGAACTTGGCAAAGATCTGTGTGGTATACATCTTGTCAAGCATCTGTGTGAACTTGGCAAAGATCTGTGTGGTATACATCTTGTCAAGCATCTGTGTGAACTTGGCAAAGATCTGTGTGGTATACATCTTGTCAAGCATCTGTGTGAACTTGACAAAGATCTGTGTGGATTATATATTGTCGAACCCGTATCTAAAGCCTTTGTTAAAATCTTTGTACTGTGATTTTGATTTTCATATAAACGATAATTAGTTCGTGTTGAGTTAGATGAGATATAATGTTTACAGTCTTTAAAAAAAAAAAAAATAGTTCAGTCAGAATAGCCGAGCGTTAAAGAATACCATAATTATTTGATTTTAGTTTCTGACGAGACACACGAGGACGTGTGATATTGCAGGATGGCCGTGACGGAGTATGCACAATACGTTGTGTAAAGTGCCTTATTTTGGGAAAACTAGTTGATATTTTGGTTTCATTAATCTGGGAAAACTAGTTGATATTTTGGTTTCATTTCTTTCATGTTTGTATTTAAATGTTTTCGTTTATTTGAGTGATTATATTTGGTTGATAAAGGTTAAGAATTTGAAGAGAAGATACTCAATTCATTTGACAGTACATTGACGATATGTCGTTTGAACTATGTAATTTTGTGAAAGCTGTTTGTTTGTTTGATTAAGATTATTTTAAGTTTTTAAGTGTATTCCTTATTTCTTTTTATTTGTTTGATTGTATTTAGTTGATTAATATTGTGAATGTATTTTAAAAAGTAACTCAATTTATTATAAAGAGCCGACGCTAACGTCAGTTAGATTGTCGAGTGGGGTTGCGAGAGGCGCCAACTTCATAGTAGTGAGCAAGCATATAAACTGCAGCAGTCACACTGCAAGGGCAGTGCTCATTTGGACGTAGTGTTGGACGCACCCTCGGAAATCCACGTGGCTCGATTTCATGTGTTAATCAAAAAGCAAGAAGTGAAGTAAAGTGAAGTGAAGTGACTTTAAAGTGTTGTGAAGTGTTTTGTGAAGTGTTAGTGGTTAGATATCAAATAAGAGGGAATTACAAGACCCTAATGGACTCGGCGATCCGACATATATATTATATATATTTATTTTGCCCGTGATTTCGTCCGCGTTAATTTTGGAACTAGTACTATATATGTACATATATACATAGCTGACCGGGCGAACGCCTTTATGCGTTTAATTAAGGCCATTAATAAGCAGATTTTGGAATTGGTTAAGTTTTTTTTGCTTTCGTTCAAGCAGACTTAAATATCCTATGTCCGTCTCCTATTTCTAAGCTATCTTCCCACCAATTTCCCAACATATCTTGAGTTATAAATAGTGTAACTAGCACAACTGTCTTTTATATATGTTTATAATTATAAATATACAGATGTTTCATGTATAAAGCCTTGTAGTAGCAAAGATTTCTAAAAGTTCATGAAGATTTATTTCACAGACGGATGAAGCATGAGATGAATATGTATACATTGATTTATTAAATATCCGACCCCAATAGTATGACTGATACATCTGGTCTACCTTCTAGGGCTTTGTGAGGCATAGAACTCACCCAGTTATAACATTTCATAAGAAATTATATACATATTGACACTTTAAAATATTGTATGATATGTACAAAAAATCCTATTACATATATGTTTTTGTCGGAGTTTGTATCCCCCATAGTTTTTTAAAGAAAATGACCTCACCAATGCCTTTATTTTTGATTATCTTTAGTCTCAGATTATTGAAGGTAACCTAGTAGACGATTGGACAAATCCTTTATTTTAAATAGGTACGGTGTCAACACCGGCTCGAATAGGACTGTTTTTAATCTGCACCTTCACCTCTACGTATATTTATACCCACCGACACTCATTGATGTAATTGCACCTATACAGGTGACACCTGATAGGTCTAACTATCCATAATTATTAATTACGTACATAAAAGGTATTCGCTCCTATCTATATATTAAAAATATTTAAATCGGAAACACATTAAAAATATTTTTATCTTCTAAACCGATTATAAACCTTACTGTAATCCAATATAATATATGTTAATAATTGTAGTGTCCGTTTATAATGCCATTTTACTTCGCTATTATATATATATATATATATCAGTACCCTTTGTTCGTGACTCCGTATTTCCGTAAAACTCAAATCTCTGAACTCAAACGATGCGTTTCATTCAAAGAATAAAAACGTTTTAATACCTGAGCGTGGGTTTTTCAAAGAGATCAAACAGCTTCGCCTTATTTATTGAATGGTAATATTGTTTATTAATTTATTTATATACACGTAAAATTACCACACTTTACAGATATGACCCATTGTAAATTATAACTTATAACATAATACATAGTATAAGGTAAACTTTCCTTTTTATGCTAAATATAATTGAAGTTTCTTAAATATTTAAAAGATCGTTAGTTAAAATAATACTATTGAAACTAAGTTCTCAGTGTTTGCGACATGAAAACTGGTAATCCAACCATAACTTCAGTTAACGATTTGAAATTAAAAGTTTTGTATTTTATATATTAAATATATGCCTATTAATTTTGTTGTGATCACAAAAAGAATCTATCTGTAGGTGGGCTTTAATTGTTATATAAGTATTGAGAATTGAAACTAAATTATATGTTTGCAATGTCTTGCCAACAATGTCACCAAACTGCATCACGATTCCTGCTCGTTGCCGAATCGATATTTCATTGGAGTATAAAATATAGAAATGCTAACGTATTTGCTCACTGCCTAAACCACACTCACCAAATGTTACACCTTGAAATGATTACGATTAATATCATTTAAAATTACTTAATAAGTTAAATAATTACATCACAATAAAAACATATTAGTTTAAAGTAATGAAATTATTTTTTTCTTTCAAATAATAAATATTACATTATATTCTGTAGCGTAATCTCTGAGTATTGTATGTAGTTCAATTCCGGATTTTTAATTCATGACCTTTTCCTTTGTAATGGTGCATAATAGATGTATCTCTAAGTCGCCTATGGAAAGGCTAACGATGACAATTAAATTAACAAGACAAATACCAAATATACTTTTACAACCCATTAAATAGCACAAGAAAACACATGATAGAGATTAATCTAGTTTTGCTTCAATCACAATAATATTATTTCAATTGTTATTTTGTGATTTCTAAGTTTTTTCCGAGCTACTAATTAATTCAATCATCCCCATCAAACTGAATACGGCACTTAATCCGGTTGATTGTAAGCATTTATCAAACACTGCTGAGCTATAAATACATTTCTGCCATTCAGATTACTTAATAATTTTAAACTATATTACATTCATTCTATTGATATATAGACAAAATCAGTTTTATAGAAATTCTAAGATTTTCGCGAGTTTTATTCATTTAAATGAAAATAATATTTTCGGATATACTACAACATACATAAAACATATTAGTTTCATTTCAGAAAAATCTTTTTACTATTCCGATACAGAAATATAGTAAAAAAATTGCTTAATATTTATTGAAATAAATAATATTTATGCACAGATTCTAAGTATAATTTCATATATTAAATGTACTTAATATGTACTAAGTTACAAAACAAGGCAACAATTAGATGAGGTTCGATAGATATTACAAACAACCTTGTTCTTTAATTATTTCGTTTATTGTCTCCCATTGCTAGGTCCTTCTCCTAAAGTATATAATTACGAGATATAATGTTGTATCGAGTACCAAAACGATTTGGATTTTTATATTCAGAATTTTTATTTGGTTAAGAATTTACAAACGAATATTATATGTAGGTACATGATACAAAATAAATTAAGAGTTTGCACTTTTAACAGTGTGGCAAACTGATCGCGTCTGGCATAGAGTTGGCTCAGTTGTGTTACTTTAAAGCCTTTAAAGATACATTTTATCTGATGCTTGAGAACTGTTTCATTGTTCAAAATGACGCTGTAAACGTTGCAAAAAGTAAACGTTCTTAAAATTCTTCCCTATTCTTGAGTACTAATAATATTGCTGTTGATTTGACGTATAAGCTTGATTTCTGACAGTTTATTCTTAATTTTGTTTTATGGGCAAAAAGTTTCCTATGAATTGATGCTTCAATCACTGACAGATAGAATTAATCTTGTATGGTTAAATATTTTAAAACCGTAACATTTTATTTTTTGTTGTTGGTGTTACTCTATATTAACCAAGTCTATAATATCGGTGTATATCGGATTCCTTTCAATTATATCTCCTCTTTTTATTTCTTAACAATATTTACAGCAGATTCTTAAAAGATAATATACTAATAAAATATTTATTTAAATTACTCTGAGTAATGAATTTTAAAGCGCGTAGTGATGATGGAGTTTACGGTTCCTTGGGAAACCAGCATCCATAAAGACCATACCAACAAGGTCAACAAATATTACGAGCTCATTAACGAACTCACTCGAAATAGGTTCGTCGTGGATTTGTACGCGGTAAAAGTAGGAGCGAGAGGTATAACAGCGAAATCTCTCTACAACCTACTAAAAGACTTGGGCTTGTCCGGAACTCAAATAAATAAATTCTTAAAACGTACATCGAAGGCAACCCTAGTAGGTTCTTTTCAAATTTGGTTAGGTAGGGAGAGGAGCTTGGACAGTGGAGGTGAGCGTATAACGCGCGTTAGATAAGGGGTCCCTTAAACCTAAACTTGGGTCCCAAGTCCCAGGCACTGTTGAAGCACCTCTCCCTGCAACGCGATGGACCCGGCACCCGCTCGGTGAATCCATAGAATGCTGAGAAGTTTCGTCTCATAGTCTTATCCATATTAACAGTATCATATTTGAGTCAGTGGTGGCCTAGTGGTTAAAAGGCCCGCCTCTCATGAACGAGGGCGCGGGTTCGATCCTGGCCCTGGCAAATACCAATGTGATTTTTTCGAGTCATATGCATTAATTAATGATTAATGCATTCCCAAAGAGGGTTGATGTCAGGCAGGCGGCCGGTCGTTAAAACGATTAGCCAAAACTATTGACAACATGTAAAGCAGACCCTGGCTAAAGATGGAAAAATTGCCAGGTAGAAGAAGTCTTATCCATATAACCATCAAAATCATAAATCTCAAACATTTTATGTTATAGTTACGTTCTTGTTGTTACGTTGAAGATTTAAAAAATTAACAATAGTTTTATAAAATTATTAAGTTATTACTTAAAGTACTTTTAAAATAA